AAATCTAATTAATTGTCTTAGTTTACAGTCAGCATTTGCAATTGATGCTAGTCGGATGAAATTTGTCATCCAACAAACTGGCAAGGCAAGGCAGACATTTTGATATTTTGTAGGAGTGAAATACATTAAAAAATCAAGAGGACATATTAGTGCTAAGGTCCCTAACTTGATAAGGCGATTATTTCACAAGAACAGTGGGATGAATTTGTTACTCAATGTCTCAAGAGAAAATTTCAAGTAAGAACAATGAGATGAATTATTTTTTTATTGTTGTTGATATATTTAATTTTATTGATATGATTCTATGTATTTTGCCCAGGAGTTGAGCCACATAAAGAAAGAGTTGCATGAGAAAGATCTATACCCTTACAAAAAGGCGCACATAGGATATGTAGGAATTGAGCAACAAATGGTAAGTATACTATATAATTTTAGCTTATTTTACATATATATGTACTATACTCATATTCAAATTTACTTAAATTCATAGATCAAGTGAGAGGGTTTAAGGGCAAGCTCAGTTTCACGTCACAGACTCTTCATAGAAGGCCGAACCAATAAAGAAGGAAGCATTGTTGATGACCGTGTTCAGGAGCTTGCCGACAAGTGTGTAAGTACATTAACTTAACATTTTTTTTATAAAAAACAACTAATTTAACTTTCTTACTATATATTGCATAGGTCGAGATCAAGAAAAACTAGCACACCTGATGATGATATCTTGGGCAAGGCATTGGGTAATCCCGAACACCCTGGTCAAGTTAGGGGACATGGCTTTATTGTTTTGAAAAAACAAATATGCAGGTCACAGAAGAAGGCAAGGTCAAAAAGAGGATATGGGTACAAGGGCTAAGATTGCCACCCTGAAAGAGGAGCTATCTAGGCAACAGGACATGATTGAAGCTTTGTTAAAAGACAAGAAGAGGCAAGAGGTAGAGTTTCATATTACTCCTCGGGGAAAAGGTAGTTATAGTTTCATGCAGCCTATTAAAAATCTCCCTGAGGTAAAATATTATTAATTTATTTCACTTATGTTTTACTATTTCTATTTTCCATAACTTTAATATAGTATATTACTTATTAATATAGGGTGAGAGCTTATATGAGTTATTGGCAAATAGCCAGAATGATCATGTGGTTGCTATCGATCGGGTGTTTAATTTGTTGAGAGAAATGCTACATAATATACCATTCCCTATGTCCTATGTACATGTTGCTATTGATGTGCCGAAAGATTTAAACTATCTACTACCTATTCCTGCTAAGGATGTAGGGATTGTTGGAGAGGCGATGGGCAGTTTTGTTGGATGGCAAGCTAGTCAAGTTAAGATGCCAAGTCAAAAAAAAAAAAAACTAGCAAAGATATACAATAAAAAAAGGGATGATACCCCGATCTAGGCTCTCCTCTAAAAAGGCAATCTCCTATAAAGTTGTGCTTGAACAAGAGCCTCAATTGCCAAGCCAACACAGAAATTTACTCCAGGCATTGCAATGATTCATAGGTCTAATCCTCCAGTCCTGCAAATCCCATTCGAGGCTGGTATATATGGCGAAGACTGATATGATATGCTTTCGCTTGATGTTATTGATGAAGTGCTTCAACATGATATGTCCAGCCTTATTGTTCTCAGCTTCTACATACCGTAATTCTTTTTTTCATATATGAATAGTTAATATTTTAAATATAAACTAATCCATTTCTTGTACCTATAATGTGTGCTTGTTTGACAAATTTGTTGTCCCTTTCAATCTACAAACGTAGTTCATCTTCATTAGTCCTTACGAAGTGGGTGCACATACCTCAATTAAAAGTGATAAAATTTTAGAACAAGCAAAGGCATTAAGCAAAAATTTCAAAGCAAGGGCTTAAAAGGGAATGTTATTCATAATACCATACTGTCAAGGGTAACGTAGTTCTCACTTATGTTAATAATTTTTTTATTTTTAATTTAATGGATTAATTATAATTCTCCAACACTTGTTAATACTATTAGGGACCATTAGATGTTGATTGCCGTTGAACCATTTAGCAACACTCCAAAGATATATTATCTCAATTTTCTTAAAGGGGAACCAGGGAAGAGACAAATTTTATTAGAGTTGATTAATACATAAGTGCATAAAGTATTTTACATGTTTATTTAATTATTTAAATTTCATACTAACATATTTTTTACGGTTTTATTAGGGCAATTGTGTTATACCGCAGTAACACAAAACAATCAATTCCAAGGTCCTTTACAAATTTTGATGCGTATTACACTTAGAATATAATTAAGATAATTGGAATCATTTATTAAATTGAAATTGAATGCATTAATACATATTCATCGATTCTTTAATTTTTAGTGTCCAAGACAAAAGAAAAATAGCTTGGATTATGGCTATTGCATCATGAGGTTTATGAAAGACATAATTATCTATAACGAGAGCATAATTCTCGAGATAGTATGTCAACAATATTAACTTCTAAATTACAAAAATATTTAATGTATTAAAATTAATATATGGTGGATCATTTATATATTGCAGTACTATGACAATTCTTATATTAAAGAATTTCAGGATGCAGAAATAAATGAGATAATTGAAGAATAGTGTCAATACATTTTCCAAGTGTGGACCTCATACAAAGAAGATGAATAGAACTACCTTGAAAAAGTGGCTAGGAAGTTAATATTGTTAATAGGTAGTTTATTTACGGAAATAGTTCACTTTATGTAATTACATTTGTTTATTGATTAATTTTGAAATTGAATACAATAAATTTCATTGATATTCAAATCTGAAATGGCTAGCTACTGTTATTTTGATTTCTTTTTGTAGAGGGGCTGGTATAAAAATAGCTCCTGTATTAAAAAAAACATATAATGAATGACGGTTATATAAATAACCGTAATTTATATTACAATAAATGACGGGTAAATAAGTTACCCATCATTTATCTGGACTTTAAATGATAGGTAACTTATTTACCCGTCATTTAAAGTATGGTAAAATACCCGTCATTTAAAGTATACTTTAAATGATGTGTAAATAAATTATTCGTCATTTATCTAGACTTTAAATGACGGGTAACATATTTACCCGTCATTTATATTCTCATTTCGCTTGTGCTTCTATAAAAATTTTATTTTAAATGAAAGTTTTATAACTGTCATTCATTAATAAACTTTAAATGTCAACCACATAAATAACGCGTATTAACCATCATTTATGGACTAAAAGAACCATCATTTATTTCTTTTTTTATGGTACTGAGTTTAAATCTATCCCAAACACCTTTTCACTTGTAACACACTTCAAACCTAAATTTTCAACTAAGCTTTCTCACAGAGATCAACCTATGTTCACACTAGTACTACATTAGTGTTGCTTAGTATTATTTTGCTAGGGTAGCGATAATTTTAGTCACTCATCCATGCATTTTTAGATTGAAAATATAGTTTGTAGAATCTTCTTCAACGTATTTTTTGCTTTAAAAATATTAAAAAGAATAATCACTCCTTTCCATTCCTTCCAAATTAAATTATGTTGTATTAGTTCACAGTAATGACCCTAAATTTTAAATTAAATAAATCTTCTTTCAATTTATATTTTATTTATTTATTTAAATCTTATGATAAATGAGGAGTAGTGGCCTAGGGAAATTTATACTAGTTATTTATATGGAGTTATAAAGTTTGAATCTTACTTTAGCCAAAGCTTAGTTTTATTTTCTTATATGGAAAATTACTAAAGTGCCCTTGTTTCTTATTATAAAAATATTATAAGAAAAATAATAAAAATCTGGTGAGGTCTCCTTTTGAAATTTTCCCCAACAAGCTTTGAGTCTTGTTTTGTAATTTTTCCAATGAGTTTATTATTTCATTCTCTCCATTCTAACCTGCAAAATATATATATGTATGCATATGTACTCTTTTGTTGCTGGCAAATCTCATCAACCATGTCATATATGATATAACAATCATTACAACTACTGTTATTTTCTTCCATGTTTGGTAAAAAAACATGCATACATCATACAAGTAATGTGCCAAGCATGTTTTTGAAAGGAAATATACAATATAAATTGAAAATAGAGTATTTCTTGTTTAAAGATGTCAACGATGATGCTTTTGCATAATCATGTTCTTGATCTTGTTTAATGACGCAACAACATCCGTCATGCTACTTCGCATTTCAGGAAAATCAATGCAACAATTTAATACCAATTCAAAAATACTGGATGTAGAAGTCAATATATCACCAGTATATTGAACATCTCCCTGCAATAAATTGGAGTCTATGACATTAATTATTTTATGTGGCATTGAGTCACTTACCTAACTCTTCAAATTCAATTCTGAGATAAACATGTCTTCTATTGGTTTTTTTCTTGTGAACACTTCCATTAATATAATTCCATAGCTATACACATCTACTTTTGTTGAAACAACTCCAGTTGATCCATATTCTGCATAGAATTGGATTCAAGCAAAAAAAAATCAATTTATTTCTCATAATCATAATTTACAAACCAGAATAAATTAAAAATATACATTTAAATAAGATAAATGGTTCAAAACTGATCATTTGCATTGGTAATTCTTGTGTAATCATTACACTATTACATTTTATAAACCAATACAAGAAAGTAATCCTTGAGAGAATTGTCTTTAGATCCAACAAAAATACATGTTGTAGTGATTTACATCCCCCCTCTCATATCATGTACATACACATAAAAATAATTAAAGCAACCAAGCTCAATGAATGGAAAATACAGAAGATCTAATGCTTTGTGGACACAATTGCAGTTTGCTAATAGAAAGTAATGAATATTTTGTATATTGATTTTCTAAGATATTAATTTAAATAATATGTGATAAAGTATGAAAGATTTCATATGTATAATTTAATAAGGTGACTCCAATGTAATCTAAAGAAATTAAGAAAAAAAGCATTCTCAAAATATTGGTGCAAAAAGAACATCATGAAGCTCGGTTTAGAATAATTACCAGGTGAAACATATCCAATTGTAGGTATCATCTCTGTATGTGTTTTTGATTGTCCTTCATCTAAAAGTTTGGAAATCCCAAAGTCACTCACATGAGCAACCATATCATCATCTAACAAAATGTTACTTGGCTTTAAATCACAATGAACTATCGGTGTTGACAAGTCATGATGGAGATACTCCAAAGTAGATGCTACATTTATCATTACATTCAGCCTTTGTAGAAAATCCAAACAATAATTATGAGAATATAACCATTTTTCAAGGCTCCCTTTAGGCATGAACTCCATGATCAAACACTTGAAATCAACATTGGAACAACTACTTATGATCTTCACCAAATTATAATGGCGCACATTACGCATTGTGTTGCATTCCACTTCAAAGCTCCTAGACATTTTTTCAAAATCAAAATTAAATACTTTAATTGCAACCATCATCCCATTCAAAAGCTTTCCTTTGAACACATCACCATAACTCCCCTTTCCAAGAAAGTTACTCTCATCAAATCCATTAGTTGCTTCTAGAATTTCAAAATAAGATATCCTCCTTGGCCATCCTAAAATGAATAAACTGCTCTCAATTGGTTCTCTTAAATTCGATCGTCTATGATATAAGAGCATTTAAGTTTCCAATATTTGATGATACATTTCCAACTAAAATATTGGAAGATAAGTTTACTTTCAATATATCCTTCAAATTCCAAAAGGAGGAGGCTATTTCTAAAATTAACTTATTAGAGTCCAAGTAAAATTCTCGTAAAGAGGTAACATTTGCTAAACAATGTGGTATTCCTCCAGAAAACTTGTTTCTACTTAATAATAAATAGGCAAGCTTTGTGATTTCACATATCTCATCAATGATTAGGCCATGTAGCTCATTGCCTTCAAGACTCAAATATTGAAGATCTTGTAAGCCACCAATTACTTTTGGAATTGATCCTGTCAAAATATTTTCTTCCAAGGATAGTTCATAGCAACTAGTGAGATTCCTGAAATTTGATGGAAGATTGCCAGTTATAGAATTGCTTCCAAGATTTAAGTATCTCAAAGTTGAAATGTTAAAAATGTTGGACGGAATAGATCCCCTCAACTTGTTATTCCACAAATCTAAGATCTCAAGCTTATGGAGATTTCCTATTTCCATAGGTATTAAACCTGTATTCAAAATATTAAGTTTGGTGAAGTTATTTAAAGTGAATAATAAAAATAGTAAATAAGACAAATATCTAACAAATGAGATGTACCATTGTCCATACTCCTTTGCATATTAGGTCAGTCAAGTTCTACATCAAGAGTTTACCTTGCTCTCCACACGCACGCACACACTGACAAGATGGACACTTATCTTTTACATAGATTCTTTAAATTATTTTTATAAATATAATTCAACTTATAAATAATTAAAAAAGAATTCTGTTAAAATAAATAAAAGATAAAGACTTTTTATATATTTGTACCATAGTCGAGCATTGTAATCTAAATATAAAAATTAAATTATACTCTTGTTTTTTATGACTTAAACGTGCCTCCTCTCCAACATTTAATGGTTAAAAATGAGAAAACTTATTAAGATTTAAGATTAAATTTTCAATTTCAAATATCGCAATGTCTTACAAAATATCTTTGTAATGGGGTAACAAAAATAAATAAATAAAAATTAATGTTTTTGATTTTGCACAAAATTAAAAAGGGACTTGGAAAAATTATTGTGGCAATTATATATAATTTTTTAAACTGTTAAAACGTGTCCACAATGTTTTGGTTTTTAAGATGACCAATTTCATTAGGAATATTTCTTGTAATTTAGCAACAGATAAAGTAAACATAGATAACAATGCTATGATTTTTTTGAACGAATACCTTCCAAGCTATTGGAATTCACATTTAAATCTTGAAGCATGGTCAAGTTTCCAATACTTTTGGGTATATGACCTGAAAGAAGATTGACACTTAAAAGCATAAGGGACAGTACATTAGTTAAAGCACAAATTGTCTAATGCCATTTAGAAGTCACAAATTAGCTGGGCATAAGGTATTTCCAATATTTTCGTTCATTTTAAGAATACTATTACATTGTTAACTTTGTTAAAAATCCAAAGATTATAGTTTTACTTGTTTTTTGATACTGTAGTTTTACCTTTTTTAAATGAAGGAATTGTTCTAGAACAAATGAATTAAATAATTTTTTAGAGAAATAAAATTTCCTGTGTAAATATAAAATTTCCAGACTTTTAAGATTACCAATCTCTTTGGGAATATCTCCTGCAATGTTATATAAAAACGATTCATCAAAGTTGTTGTAATCGATCAAAATATAACTCTTGAAGTTGAAAATAAAAGAGGAAAGAAAAACGTTAGATAATTTTTTAAAACTATTAATAACGTATTCTTCACCAATTTTTAAATTAGGAAAAGCGAAGTCAAAAGAAGACAAGATAATGAAAACAATAAAGGAGGAGAAGTTGAGATAGAGCTATAAAGACAAAGATAACCCATAATCTAATAGTTCAATATCTATCTCTCATGCATTTCTCCATGTAGAGAATTAAAAGGAAAGTCTTCATCACTTTGATGTGTGAAAAATAGATAGAAGAAAAAGAAAAATTGAGAGATTCCAAAGAAAAGAAGCATGGGCTTAGAAGGGAAAATCTTCATAGAATCATCAAGAACAGTATTACATAATTACCTATACTTTTTAGCCCAGAAAACAGAGCTAAACAAAGTAAAGAATTCTTGTGTATGTGAACTACTAATCTGAATGTATAGTTAAGTTGAAAATTTTGACAGTAATGCATCATAAGCTGTTGGGGGTATAGTTAAGTTTTCAATGCTAGTTAAGTCAAAATTATTACAACAACAAAAATAGAAATGACTGAAAAATTGTATTGCACACAACATCATATCTCTGTTCTTTCAAAAAATTGGCTTCCCAAGCTAGCATCCCAAAAATTAAAAATAACCAAAGAATTTTTATGCATAAATAATTATTACAACAAGAAATTTCACAGATGCACAAACTTATTGATACCTTATAATAAAACAAAAGGTGAAAAAGAAAAATAAAATGCATCTTGTTCATAGTGATTCTTAGAAAATAATGTAAAAATGTTGCAAATAAGAACATAACATGAAGAAAAAGAACTTAAAGGCTGCAGAAGAGAAGACATCCTAACCAATATCACTAAAATTAACAATAACTAAGTCTCTTTTTAGCTAACCAAAACTAAGGTATTTTTATGCATAAAGAATTATAGACGTAGGATATTTTATGCGTTGATAGAACACATTTGTTACACATTTAATTAGAACTCTTTTATTAATTTTTTATCACCTGAAAGTGGACACAGTGCATTAGATTTAGAATTTTGCCAAAGTGTCTAGGTTCAATGCACTAGGATATTTTGGTCTAAAAAATGAACTTTAAAAAAAAATGTGCAAGAAAAATTAACAAAGTGCATTTCATGTTCAGTTGATGAGTGGTCAAATTACATTTTTGAGATTCATTTTAGTTTTGAAGTAATTAGATAAAAAGTCAACACTTTTTAAAGTGTCTTAGTTTGACCTAGTTTTCAGTTTCCCTTTGTGTGAAAATTTTATATAATTTTTTACAGTCTGGAACTTGATTATTTTAATAAATTCTTCCTTCTAATTATAAATTTAATTCTAAACATTAATTAAATTTTATTATGTCACATGTTATTTAATTGAATTATGTGATTTATGTGACATAGGTGGTGGCATGTGAATTGTGCATCAATTAGGCAATTGAAGTCAACACTCCTTAAGGTCAAAGCTGAGCATTTAGGACATGATTTCTGGCATTTTGGAGGATTAAATCAGCTTGAAATGTGGATGTCACATGGTAAATTAGACACACATTGAAATCATTTACAAGCCAATAAGAGAATGCCACCTTGCAAGTGTGACAAGGCTCCCGCTTCCTTTTTATTTTCTTTTCCTATTTTTTAATTGATGCTTCAGCTAAGGGAAACTAATTATTCACACCTCTTACCTCTTGAATTCAGATTAAGACACAAATTTCTTCATCTTTTCCATTCTCTCTCTCTAATTCTTCTAATTCTTCATTTTCTCCACCTTCTCTTTACTTTCTCCATTTTTTCTAGCACCCATAAATCTTCATCCACCCATCAAACTTCAAAAATTCTTCCACCATTCTTCTTCTCTCCCTTGGCCAACTATAACCCAACCAATTGCAAGGAGATTTGAAGCTCAATCCATCAATGAACACCTTCAACCTTATGGCCTCTTGGAGTTCTTGGAGGAGCAAGATGTTCTTGATGTTTTCTAGCTAAATTTTCCATGGAATCCTAAGGAAGAGTTGATAGAAGAGGAGATTTGAAGTCTTCACTTTGCTAAGCTCAACAATTTCTTCATCTTGTTTCAATTTCATTAGAATACTATGACTATTGTTGGTTATAGTTCAATTTGACTATAGTTTCATGGTTGCTTGTAATTGTTAATGTTGAAACAAAATTGTTGAGTCAAATTTCATGTTCTTCTTGTTGCTGGAATTTTGGCCACTTAGTGATTTTGCATTGTAATATGTGATTTCATTTAGTGAATGTCTTGTATTAACCTAGCATGTAATTGTGTGGTGAATACTTGATGAGTTGCTTGAGTTTTCATAGTTTTGATTGTAAGTATAGATTTGGGCAGTGGCAATTAGGAATGAATTTTAATTAAACACTTAGTTAATTATTGAGCTAAGCTAGCGAAGCTACCTAAAGGGCTTGCAATAGCACTTAGGGAATTGAATTAGTGATGTTAGGTTACTTAAGATAGTTGTCTTAAGTAAACACATTTTTTAGCCAAGGAAGAGAAGTTGAGAGAACTGCCATAATTAACTAGAGGTTAGGATTCTTCCATTAGCAACACTCTAGGGTTACTTTAAAAGGGAAGTCTATTCCATTCACAATTAGGTTTAGTTTGCTAGTTAAATTCACTAGATAATTAGTTAGGTAACTAGGCAATCAAATTTCCACAAATAGATTATTTACTTCACTAGATAATCTTTGATTAAGCTAGAACCATTTCTTGGAAGATGACCTAAGGTTGGGCCCTATATTGCATTAGGGTTAGCTCTAATTTAATTTTGAGGGTAAGCTACTAACACCAATCACACATACACAAATTTAATAACCCAAGAATTTTAGTAAGAACTAAACTTTATGGTAAGGTATTTTAAGAGTATTTTTATAAAAATTGAGACAAATCTATCAAGAAAATTGGTGGTTCAATGGAAACTCTATTTGCAACCTATCATCAGGTTCTGTGTTCAAATTCTTATTGTGAAAGAAAAGGAATTTTGTTTTTTGGAATTCAGCCTTGAGAAATTTCTACATTTGTTGGACACCAAAGTGTTGCAAATTTCACAACACAATTCTTGTGCATGTGGAGCCATGAATCTAAATATGTAGTTGAGGGATCTAAAGTATAATGATCAAAGATAGTGAAGATGTAAATGAAAAAAATATAAGTTTGCAGAGTATTAATTGAATCAAAATAAGAAAAATATTCATGCATACCTTTCTAGGCATTAAAATCATAATTATGTGTGAAGCAAAAAAAAAAGGTAGAAATGAATTTAAACTAAAAATATGAGAGAAATTTTATTGACACATCTTTACTGGACTATTATCCAAACATGTAAAAACCTTCTTGAGGCATGTTCTAATTAGCATGAGTGAATCGAATGATTGTCAAGGCATTATTCTTGCACAAAGATTTTTCCTTGAAATGTGCATAGTAATTGAAAAACAAAACAAAGACAGAGCTCATTTTAATATTGATGCATGATAAGATATCATAAAAACAAAAATGAGTAGCACTCTCATATTTTGTTAAAGAAGAGCTTTAATTCAATAAAAATTAGATAAAGGTTTCCCATTTTATCTAAGCAAGAAACATATCACAAATAATATATAATATGACAAGGTAGATTAAAGTATAGGAAATTTGAATATAAAAATTAGAACATAGTCTTGTAATTTTTTTTAATTCCAACAATTTGCTAGATAGACGCATGAAGAAAAAAGGAACATAACTAGCTAGATTGCAAAAAAATTAAATACATTTTATACATGATGTAGAGGTTAGACACTAAGTTAAAAAATTTTAAAATATTACAGTTCATTCTTAAAACATTTAAATATAGCCAAAAAATAAGTATGGCTTTTTTGGATTATATATATTTTTTCTTTTATTCTTCAGTTTTTAATACATACTTGTTGAGCTTCACATAACTTAAAAAAATATTTTTAGAGCATACGTACAATAATGGTGTAACATCCTGAATTTCAATCCAAGGAATTAGCTGCTAATCAAGGGTAAATTAGTAAATAGTGGATTGATCATGGTTGGAATGTTGAGTTGATATTTCGTGTTGATTGGTTGTTGTGTTAATAAGATTGAATGGTAGAATGAAAATCCTAGTACAAAACGCATAAGAACAAGTTAGATTGAACTCACTCTGCCACATGCCGTGGCAGAATTTACATGCGCCACGGCACAATGTGCAAAAATCACTTAAAGTGACGTGATCAGCTTGTGAAATCAGAAGAGAGAAGTAAGGAAAACACATATGAGGAGGTGGAGAAGCTTGGCTCTACTAGGGCTTGCATTATCTAGTGATTGGGAGTTGGCTTCGACTAGTGATTTGTCGGGTAAATATTGACCTAAGCTTCATTTCTACCCTATTTTCATTGAATTTCATCAATTGAGAAATTGAACCAAGAAGTTTTAAAGTACTGGAATCTAAAAGAAATGTTTAAAAAGAGCTATTGAATATGAAACTAAGGTTTTGTGACTAGTATGGAGTTAAATGGTTGAGCTTTGAGGATTTAGGCTTAAAATAGCTTAAAAATTAGGTTAAATGGTGAAAATTATTGAATAAATGTGTTAGGAGGTTGTCA